TATATTTTGTAAAGTACGTCTTGTATGAACTTTTCCAAGTATGCGATGTCGCCATCCGTGACACTGTTCAGAAGCCTCGCCGTGCCAATGCCAGAAATATCGTCAGCAATGACTATGTTAGAAAAATACAACAGCTAGGAAGACCTTTTACCCGTCCCTGTGTGATTAGCCAAGTGCCAAAGGCAACCGAACAGACGTCATCTTGTACAGTCAATTTTGTGTGAACCCTGAAAAGTGTACTCTGGTTATTTTTCAGCGATCAAACGTGTCACAGCAAAAAATCGGAGATTATTTCTAATCTCATTTAATCTAATCTTAATTTCATGTACAACCGCTGATGTGCTACTTGCCGTGCGAGTTATAGATTTAGATTCTTTATTGACTCAACAAAAAGTACAGGGACTTTTGTATGGTCTTCTACAACTAAAGATCTAACATAGCTAAATACACACAATTTGAATGAAGTCATCCTACGTACAGAATTTATATGTATGCGGCAAACTACGTACAGAATAGATGTCAGGGGCAACAATAAATGTTCAACTATTGTCTAACATGTCGTCTCTAAGATTTAAACATTCTCTATATACGACTAGTGAAGAACACGTGTTCTGCGGGGGCAACGACCATCAGATAACCGAAGATAACCTGAACTTCAAAGGGAAAAAGTACAGAAGAGCAATTGTGGCAAAGGTGAATAGTTTGCGCAACAGATGTGACTGTTTATAGCGGCCTGTTTTTGATGATTCACCGGTAAAACCAGGGCATTCACCCGCGTATCAGGGACAACAGAACACGATTCTGCGATTACTCTAGCCTCCGTAGCAGGCTTATAGAACTGGGGGTTTGGTTGTCTTCGGCTGTTTTCTGATTAGCCTAGTTCTAAAACGGGGGTAATTCAACCAGGCCGGCTATATTGTCTATATGCAATCAGGAAATAGCACATAAAAGCTCCCAAAAACCATGAAGACCCCCATCTTTGGCATGCTATGGAGGCAATGCTTACTCATCGCGATGAGTGTGTCGTCGTGACCAGTTCTACTGTTTAATACTTGATAATACTGAGAAACTAGCCAAAGGAGTGACTCAGTTTGTGTTTTTCCTTCTTTCCCAAAGTAGAAACTTCGTAAGATCAGCTGGTATCAAGCATGTAAACTACACCAAGGTTTGACGATCTTTTGAAAGGGAGATATAAGGCCACACCAAGTAAATTTTATGGATGACGTCCGCGCGCGCATTGATTTTGGCCTGTTCCTAGAAAAAAAAAACACAAGAAATTCCGCTTCCTGTAACTATGACCAAAGAGTCACGACAGTGCCGCTGATAGGTTTGTACGGACCAAAGCTTATGAAGCATCAAGCAAGGAAATCATGACTTCCTTTAGGAATTCAGTTTGGTACATGCTGCCACATTTGAATAAACTTGCTGACCACTCCATCTATCTCCCCAAAACACAGGACGACAACTGCTGTTCCACCTGATTTATTGCTGTTTTGATGATGAATAAAAGACTTCTTGCCTGTTACACTGTCACCTCATTCAATTTGTGTCCTAACATTTGTCATCTCTTAGTATATTTCTAATGTAGGCATCTTGTTTTTTAGGGCCCTTCTTGTTTTTTTTCGCCCTCTCGCATTAGATTTAGGGTCTCCAAAGGACGTCATCCATAAAATTTACTTGGTGTGGCCTAATGGGTAGGGCTGTTGCTAGCTAGGTCATCAGAAGTCTATGAGCGCCTCCAAGCGATCTATAAGCAAATTACTCAAAGCTGCCAGATGAACAAAACTCACAATTTCCCAGCAGATTCTAGTGTCTCAGAGTATCAAATTGGCCAGGCAATATCCAATTGGCCAGAGAGGGTCCATGCGCGACCCAAGGTTGGTGAGGGTAGCGACAAAAAAAGGCCATATATAAAAAGCTAACGATCATTCCCCTACAACCTCTGCTTGGAGAGTACAAAACTTCGTCATTGATCGTTGTTCTATAGGCTCTACCCGGTGGTTAGGATAGTAGAATTCTCAAAAAATAGGGTCGGTGGCGTAGCGGCAGAGTGCTCGACTCGGAACCAAGAGGTCCCGGGTTCGAGTCCCGGCACACCGCCGATCTTGTGCCCTTGGAAAAGGCCCTTTGCTCAGGTCACTTCATTTTCCACTGTCAATTTCTAAAATTGCCCATTTCCTCCTCATTTCAAAGGAAAAACAGAAGGATTTGTGCAAATCGAGTGCAAGTCTTAAAGCGACAAAATGCAAAACTTTCAGAAATTCAGCGGTATAGGAGAGACCTCTAGTGACTGCTATCGCAACTACATGCAGCCTTCTAATGGAATTCGAAATACAAATGTAAAACAAACAGATACGCCAAAAAGCAGTTACTCAAGCAACTGGATATGATTTTGAAACGTCAGACGTTTCAGCTAGTATCCACTAGCTTTCGTCAGTGACTGAGAGACCAGAGGGAAAAACAGGTTTATAAGCACAACCTATTGATTGATATGCAAATAAAGTGAATACAAATTTTTGGAAGTCGAAAAAGGAACAAAAGTCAGACAAGTCAAGACAAGATGATGCAAATTAGTCTGAAAGCTCCTGTTCTACAGAACAGGAGCTTAAATGTTGTCTGTTCTCTGGGCTGGGAGTGCCAAATCCCAAGTGCCGGAAAGATCGACCCGTAGCAGGAGCTTTCTGGTGCGATAAGGCCTTGTCAGTTGCTATAACCACCGAATAAAGCCACCAAGTGAGCGCAGCGAACTACAACTAGGTATTGTTTATTTCCAGGCCGACGTGTGTGTCTTGGGGAGCAGCTGGCTAGGATGAAACTTTTCCTGCTCTTCTCCACCCTGCTGCAGCATTTCACCTTCAAGCCGCAAGAGGACGCTCCTGCACCATCCACTGACGGCGTCTTTGGTCTGGCGTTGCCGCCGCATGCCTTCAAGCTCTGTGCGATCCCACGTTAGTTTTTTGTCTGGCTTAGGCCATGTTGATTTGATTATATGGACGACATTCTCTGGGAACCCCAAAAACCGATGCGAATAAAAAAAAGCTTGGAAAAAAAATTGCTTTCATTATGAAATCTATGTGGTTCTGAAGTTTGAACAAATGACACAGAGTATTGTTTGACGAATAGTCTACTCTTCAAATTCATTTCTTTACATTTTCGTCTTTTTCGTTCGATTTTGGTATTATACATCACATTGGTACTGTTTTCCAATATTCTTTTTCAACTGACGGCATATATTTGCTCATTTTGCAACTGTTTTGTACGATTTACAGTATGGTTGAACTTTTTTTTTGGAAACGACCGAAAATTCATGCGCGCGTGGATGTCATCCATATAATCAAATCAACATGGCCTAAATGTGCGAGATGTGGTGTGTCTTATCTAATTTTTGTACACAGTATCCAGATAAAATTAGCTTGTGATAGCGCAGAAATGGTGTCTTAGATCTAATAGATAGAGAAAACGAGGGCTATATCCAATTCTTAAGACTACAGGTTGGTTGCTCAGTAGTTTTATAGGTGTCTGATACATACTGATTGCTGTGTTTTGATCTCATATGGTGTTCAGGGGAAATTAGTCTAAAATCATTCTTAATTTAAACTAACAGCAATGGAGCTTGACAGAATGAATAAGTCCATACGATGTATAAGGTAAAAGTTGGAGTAGATTTTTAGTTATATGGGCAGAAAGGTGTTTTTTCAGCTCTGTTTCATTATTTTGGATGATCTCAGCTCCTGTTCCCATTGGGCAAGGGAACACAATTGAACACATGAAGGCAAAGATATACAGAAGATGCAACTTTATTCTCGATGAACAAGTTATTTAGAGTTATTTAGCAAATACACTTGACTTACATGTACTTAAGCTGAAACATATCAAGGAATGGTGACATCAACGTTCACAGAAGTATAACCCTGCAACTTTTCACAAACAAAAATAACTCTGATAACACTTATACTTTCTTAAATGAAACTTAACTCTCCTTCGCAGAGAAAAACAACAACCTTGAATTCATGCCTACAAATCATACAGGTCCTAAAATATATGAATTACATCATCAGAATAGAAATCTCACACAACCAAGGTTTTTACCATGTTCACATCATCACATCACATCACTGGACACAAGTCATGTGCAGGACAGCATTCTTTGCAGTCCATCCTGATCGTCAGTTGAAATGTTGTCTGGTAAGAAACCTTAGTTGTGTGAGGTGGCTGCATGTACATGTACTGCAATTAGTGCATTTGACATTCTTGGTAATAGTCACGGATGCACAAAGTCTACGATCAAATGTCTACATAGTGTACATGAATCATTATGACTGTGCAAATGCCTTTTTACATGTGCAGACAAAAGTTGATTACTATATAACTCTAGCTTATTGAGATAACTGCAGTGAAAACATATTGTAAACAATAGCACTTAAGTGTTAGTAGTGCTTTTTAATGCTACATATTCTTCGGTACATTACAAAAATGGAGTTGTTGTCAAGTTATCATCATCATAAAAACATTACTGACTTCTCCGAGGCAAACTAAGCATGGTACGGTACAATTACAAAATACAGTTTCTAATTATATTCTCTAAAACGTATAATGCCTTTACAGCGGTTGATTTATGACCTGAAACTTGGTGCTGTGTCCCTAAACCCACATTTAGGTTCAGGTCCAGATTCAAGTCCAGAGGTTTAGGTTCAGTTACGAACTTGTAAGTCCAAATTGCATGTTGACAACCTTTCAATGTTGTATGGGCCACATAACATGGAGGCTTGACGATGCCCAATGGCAATGTTTTCTTCATTTTGCAGCACAGATTTTGCAATCTATGAAAGGTTTTATGTGGTTTGGACAGAAAAGGGGTATGTGACATGTGATATTTCGTGATAAGTCCGGAATCAGTTCTTGACTTTAAGGTTTTTTTTACATGAACCTAAACATTTTTACAAGTCTGAACCGGTCCAGCAAGTCTGAAACACAGCACTACCTGAAACTTCCCCCCTCCCCCTCCCCCCTCCCCACATGTACAGACTGGCGTGACCATAAGTTACTGCTCAGGTTTCTGGGGTTCGGCTGGGGCTATGGTTTGACCTTGACCTTTGTTGACGTCGCTGACACAGACCCACTGTCCCTCCAAGGACTCCTTCCACAGACTCACCTGGTGGGAACAGAGAACATCGCACATCAGGAAATACTACATACATATTAAATACATACAGATGCAAGCATAAACTAGAGTTCCATGATATCATACCTTTGCCAAATGATGTTAGCCTTAGGTGTAAATGAGTACCTAGCCTCGAATAGGGACGTCCCTCGGATAGGACGTTAAATGTAGATCCCATGTTTGGGGAGAGCCATACCCCACACACGTTAAAGAACCCACCAAACCCTTCGAAAAAAAATAGGGGCATGCCCCGGTGTGGAATGGAACAAAAACTATCACTGTCCGGGAGTTGGTGATTCACTACAAATCACCCGGATGGAGGCCTGGCGAACCCCATCTTGTACTAGCCACAAAAGGCAGCAGAATCTTCAGCTAGTTGAAGGCGGCTGCCTCAAATTGCAAGAATAAAAAGAAGAAGAAGAGTACCTTGTTGTCTCCCCCTGACACAGCGAGGATGTTGCCGGTTATGGACCAGCTCACGTGCCACACAACATCTGGGAACTTGTTCAACACCTGAGGAAGAGAAGGTCAAAATTCTCTTAACAACAAAGGAACACTACAAGAAAGCTGTACAAGGAAACAACAACTTATACTAGAACATATACTGACAGAAAAACAGCCTTTTACAAATTGTTCACAAGTATTTGGACTAAAAAAACAATTCAGACTCACCTTTGAGGTCCAACTTGTTCCATCTTCACTCTTCCAGATAATAACTCTTCCGTCCTGTTAAGATAGGAATATATAGGTTAAAAAAATAAACACAAGACGTATTCTGTTTCGATCTTTACAGGTTTTCTAGAGATCCTTTGCAATCATTTTAACACAATAACGCTGTCTACAATAACAGACCAAAATGTTTGCACATCTATTTTGCATTCAAACATCTTGAGTTCTCTAAAACATTTTGCTCTTATGCCTCAGCCATATTCAGGATAGCAAAACCTATTATGCCGTTATGAACAATTATTGCAGTCTCTCCAGATTGAATCAAAAACTGTACCAGATCACAATGTCTACCCTGACATACAATGTACAACACACACACTCCAGGTCGAGAGTACTTACCTGTGAGCAGCTGGCTATAGTTTGTGTGGGGAGTCCTATAGACGGAGCCCAGGCCACGTCTCTAACCCAGTCACTGTGAGCCTCCAACTTCTGCTCCTCCTTCCACTGACCATCCTCCTCCCTGGGACAAACACAGGGAAATCAGGGTTATGTCTGTCATTAAGTCCTGTTTTCTACAGTATGCATGTAGTGAACTTTATTTAAAAAGTTATGGGTGGATTTTCATGACATTCCTAGTCGGGGAATAACGAGGAAGAACTGTGAGAAAAGGTTTGTGCAATGACTTTTACAACAACAGTCCAGGATTCAAAATATCCAGGAGTCTAAATCTCTCCTGCAATAAAATTGCAACATGATGTAACCCAACACTAGTTACCGCCGTGACAGATGTCTGGTTCATTGACCTTATTTGTTTGGAGAAAAAAAAAGACACAGAGCAAAAACAATATGTTTTCCTTCAGTAAGGCCATGTTGATTTGATTATATGGATGACATCCTCCGGGAGCCCCAAAACTGATGCGCGCGTGCGAATAAAAAAAAAGTTTGGCAAAAAAAAAGTTGTTTTCATTATGAAATCTACGTGGTCATGAGGGTTGAACAAATGGAACAGAATATGGTTTGCCGAATAATCTAATCTTCAAGTTCATTTCCTTACAATTTCGTCTTTTTTCGTTTGATTTTGGCATTCTACGACATTGGTATAGTTTTTACTTATTTTTTGTAACTTACGGTATATTTTTGCTCATTTTGCAACTGTTTTGTACGATT